GACACGAACCGCGGTCGACTACGTGGGAATCCAGCGACATAGCCATTACGCTAACTGCTGGTTCCCAGAAAGAGCAACTAAATTTTGAAGAGTCATATAAAATGTAACATTTAGTTCCCTACTTCTGTAGGCATTAAGTGCAGTTTTCATTACAAAAGATTAAACTTTATGCCATCAACCACATTTATTGTTTAAAATGTTCATTAAATTGGCCAAAGGACAATAGGAAAAAATTAAGAATTAAGAGTTAGCCATTACACTAACTGCTGGTTCCCTGCATTTTTTAAAAGATATTTTTGCTATAGGGCACATGCATTTACCAGAGAGACAGAGAAAGAAAGAAAGACAGAAAGTGAGAAATCATCCCCCAAGGAGATGGCCATGCCACAATCCCTTTTCTTCCATTGTCCTTTCAGAATTTTGGGCAAGCATGCACATGTGCCCAGCATGAGATTTAAGCTGCTAGGTCCAGGAATTGAACTGTAGTTGACTGCATGAGAGTCCAGCAACATAACCATTATGCCATTTGCTTATCTCAGTAATGCTTTTTAGAACTTACGTTCACTATGCCAAAGAAAGATGACATGCTACATATGACAATACAAAGGTTCTTCAAAAAGTCTTTGGAAAATATGCATTATAAGAAATGTTTTTCATAATATAGATTTCAAAAAATAGAGATTTTGGGACCACAATCCCTTCTTCTCCATTCTCCTCCCAAGATCTAGAGCACATATGCACGTGTGCATGCACGTACACACATGCATCCAGCATGATTTTAAAGCCACTGTGCCTGGGACATGAACTGTGGTCTGCCTGGGAGGCCAGCAACATTACTGCTATGCCATCTGCTCGCCAAAATCAGTTCAGTTTCTTATTGGTAAATCAACAATGCATTCATGTTTACATGCAATCTTAAGAATCATGCCATTCCTTGAGATTTTACTGGTATATTATTCCAGGTGTTTTTTTATGTGTTATTATTCCCTGAAGCAGGTCATACATTAGTTGTTATAGAATATGAGCATGTGTTTTTTGCTTTTATTGTGAATGTAGGAAAATGGGTTTTATAATAAAATGTAGGGTAATGTTAGTTCTATTAATAAATGATTTTTTTAAATCCTTAAAATGATGTTCGTAATCTTGAATAAAAATTATAGATTTAGGGGCCAGCAGATGGCGTGGTGGTTAAGAAACTAAGCTCCCATGTGATGAGCTGCGGAGCTGGCGGCTAGAAACTCACACCAGGAGCTTATGCGTGTGTGCCCAAGTACAGAGAGGAAAATGGAAGAGAAGAGATTGAGGCATGGCTATCTCCCCAGGGGAGTAATTTCTTGCTTTCTGTCTGTCTGTCTGTCTCTCTCCCTCTCTCTCTCTTTTCTTCTGGAAAGCACACATGCTCGAGAGAAAAAATCTCTCAAAGAAAAAAAAAAAGAGAGAGAGAAGCAGCAAGTTCAATTTTCTTGAATTTAATCAATAAGATGGTTGAAGTTATTGCATATATTTGCTTTCCATATACAAGTAGTTGAATTATAATCAAGTAAAAAAGTAGTCAACATTAGATTTATTTTATAAATTATATGTTGGCCATTTGTTTTTATCAGTAATTAATTTATTTATATAGTACATTTTGATAACCTCTGTCTGAACTAGACTATAGTTATACAGCAAATATCAAAGAGGATATACTCCCCTAACTAACCAGGAAAAGGTAGAGGGTAGTCTGACAATTAAATGCTCAAATACAGTGCAGAATAAATCAATGATGAAATCATTTTCATGATCAATATTACCATAGCTTCTTTGTTCTCTAAATTGCATGCTCTGGGAATATTTGAGACTTTTTTTTTTTAAATTCCGTGTAGAACCTTGATTGATACAGCTATTCAAATGCTCTCTGAATCTAATTCTGTTTCCAAGAAAGAGTCCTATAGAATCAAAAACTCCTTTAAAGTGTCACTTACCTTGTTCTAGCAAAGACAAAATATATGTATGCACTATCTACTGGTCTCTGCTTATTCACATGATTCAATTTAGTTTATCAAGGTATCAATTTAGAATATCATTCTTACTTATAAGTACTTATATAAAATCATTTTATGTGGCAAAAATTGAAATTTTAATTAGCCCCAGAAGCATGAATGCAGTATTTTTTTCTGTACTTTCTTCCATTTGCATAATTATGGTAAGTGAACTAACAAGGGCTGAAGGAACCCACTTCTCCAGCATTCACAAAGAGAAAAAAATTTTTTGAGAGGTTTTTTCGCTCTAGGGCGCGTGTGCTCACCAGACAGACAGAGATAGACATAGAGACAGAAAGCGAGAAATCACCCCCTTGGGGGATGGTCACGCTGCAATCCCTTCTCCTCCATTCTCCTCTCGGGATCTTGGGCACGCATGCACACACGCCAGCATGAGTTTTAAGTAACCAGGTCCGGGACGTGAACTGCAGTCGACTACGTGGGAGTCCAACGACCTAGCCATTACGCTAACTGCTGGTTCCCACAAAGAGAAAATTTTAACAATTCCAAACATGGCACCACCATGAAATAGCATGGATATACTACTGCTCATTCATGGACTCTTGATGTTTTCTGAATCTGAATCTACTCTGTTCAGCCTCAGGAAGGGTTAGGGTTCAGGAAAGAAGCTGGCTAATGTTATAAAATTGGATACTGTCGCCTCCTTTGTCCTGAGATTTTTAACAGGAGTTCGGCTCGGGTCAACATTATTCTCTAAACCAAATTGGTTTTATCTTTTTCAGAGGCAACTTGAATATCCTCATGGGATAAGGTCATCAAACAACTATCTGTGGCTTTTTGAAATACATACTAGATTTAACAATGAAGACATTTGTCTCAGGTAACTTTGATCTTACTTATCTATACAAGTTCAACTAAACCTCATTGACTGTTCTCACCTGACATCGCACGGCAGTATGCAGAAATAGCTTTCTCTTACAACCACAAAGCTCTGAACACTTGAGACCTAGTTTAAGCTCCTTTTATTATTCCATAATAGCCACATGAGAGGACAGAAATCTTCTGGGAATCCTTCTTACTTCTCTTTATTTGAAGTGATTATTAACTCTTGACTACTCAATAGGAATGCTCTAAGAATGGTTTAGATTAATTTTCAGAGTGGCTTATAGTAAGTACACAGTGGGTATAGATTTTAACTCAAACATGTTCTTAAAATGGCTTATCTATAATTTAGTAGCATTTATGTAATATTTTCTGCAATATGTTTGAGGAATTTTAAAATTTTCTTGTGAAATAGGCCCAGAATATTTTGAGAAGCAGATTTCAATATGCTTGGTATATATGAGATTATCCGGGAATTCTGATGATAAAAGTATCACCTCCTTCCTGGTGAAGTATCACTTCTTTTCAGGTGAAACACAGTTCAGAGGACCAATGAAGTTACGGTATATACGAAAAGAACTGAGTTAAGAATCTGAAATTTCTAGGCTTGAGGACAATGACTGAGACACAGAATGTCTGTAGAGTGTTAAAAACTCAATAGACTCACTAATTTTTTAAAAATTTCCCCTTACATTAACCTAGAAAATTAATACAGTCTTTATTTTACCCTAGGCTTGAGGACAATGACTGAGACACAGAATGTCTGTAGAGTGTTAAAAACTCAATAGACTCACTAATTTTTTAAAAATTTCTTTTGTATTGCATATGATTTCTCATTTTCCCCTTACATTAACCCAGAAAATTAATACAGTCTTTATTTTACCATGAAGAAAGTTGAGGTTCAGATATATGAATTATCTTAACAAAAGCCAGTGAGTGTGCAGGTCATCTGAGTTTCAAGCAAAGGTCAGTCTGGATCCAGGATACGTGCCCTTTTGAATGAAATACTGCATATATATATGAGATTAGGGTTTCTGGATTTTGGGGTACACTTCTAGTACTTCTAATAGTGTCTTGCCATTTCCCTAGCCCATTTGTCTAATTCAAGATGGCCAAACAGAACAGGGAGAAATATAAAAACCTATATTCTTTTTTTTTTTTTTTGAGAGGTTTTTGCTATAGGGCACACACACTTGCCAGAAAGACAGAGAGAGACAGAGAGACAGAAAGTGAGAAATTACCTCCTGGGGGGATGGCCACACCACAATCCCTTCTCCTTGATTCTCCTCTCAGGATCTTGGGCATGTACGCACACGCGCGCAGTGTGAGTTTAATTTGAATGATGCTATCCATGCATATTAGTACATACATTAAAAAGTATGAGTGTAAACTCAGGAACCTGAGAATTCAGAAAAAATGTATTGATGAAGCTCTAATGACGAACCTGAGAATTCAGAAAAAATGTATTGATGCAGCTCTAATGACTGTGAACGGCAATAATTTGGCAAAAAAAATAAAAATAAAAATCAGTACTTGTGTAAACTCAGTACATACTACAGTCTGTATGTGGAATCACTATCCTTCAAGCTTGGGCCCAAAGTCTCTCTCAGCAGTCACCCTACATATTTTTCATTATGGGATCCTTCTTTCCAGAACCCAGTAGAAAAGAATTTCATTTAAAAAAAAAATTCAACCCCTCCTCAACAAAACCAAGCCAGGAACTTTCTGTAAATCCACAAAAATGACAAAATTGAATAACAATAGTCAGAAAGAGCAACTAAATTTTTTTATTTGTTGTTTGTTTTGTTTTTTTTTTTTTGAGAGATTTTCACTGTAGGGCGCATGTGCTCGCCAGACAGACAGAGAGGGACATAG